AGACTCAGGTCCTTCGGTGTGCAGGGAGCACTCCTGAGGACTTTTTATGACTCTGTGCATCAGCCATCCTGTACGGAGTGGTCTGCTGGAGCAGCAACACTACGGCTGCAGACAGGAACAGACTGAACAAACTGGTGAAGAAGGCCAGCTCTGTCCTGGGCTGCCCCCTGGACCCTGTTGAGGTGGTGGGAGACAGAAGGATGATGGCAAAGCTATCATCCCTGATGGAGAACGTTTCCCACCCCCTGCATGGAACTGTAACAGCTCTGGGCAGCTCCTTCAGCGGCAAGCTTCGCCACCCACGGTGTCAGAAGGAGAGATACCGCAGGTCCTTCCTTCCTGCTGCGGTCAGACTGTTTAACCAAGTCTGCTCCCAGTAGATCACAAAACACACACACAACTGGACAATTCACTCTGACTCTGTGCAATAATAACGTTATATTATATTTACCAAATCCACTTTGTGCAATAACATGTTACACTTCATGTACACTGTGTGCATGTTTGTGTTACACTGAATATTACAGACTACACTTTTGTCAAATAGCTGATCTATTTTTTTAAATCAATTTTTTTGTACATTCTTAATTTTTCTTTAATTTAAATTGTACTGTGTTCACTTTTTGTCGACAATCTTTTCTCTTTGCTGCTGTAACAATGTAAATTTCCCCATTGTGGGATAAATAAAGGATTATCTTATTTTATACTCCCCTTTCACATATGGTTGTAGCACCTCATCTGGTACATGTTTTGGCCACCCTGACAAAACATACTGTTTTACTTTTGCCAGCACTGGATCTGTCTGCGTTTCAGGTGCTATATCTTTTGCTGTGACAGGCATCTAAATATGACACCCTGAACACTGGATTCAGTTTTGGAAAGCTGTCATTGGGCACAGGGAGTCTAGATAATGCATCAGCATTTCTGTGCTGCTCCGATAGCTTGTACTGGATTTCATAGGTATACGCTGCTAAAATCAGAGACCATCTTTGAATCCTAGCAGCAACTAAGGGAGGTACCCCCATTTTTGGACCTAAGATCTTAAGTAACGGTTTGTGGTCTGTTATCAAAATAAACTTACGACCATAAAAATACTCGTGAAACTTCATCACGCCATGGGCCATTTACTATGCGCTCCATCACTTTACAAATATGTGACGTTAAGGTGATTGGCCTGTAGTTATCTGCAGTGCTTGGATCTTTTCCTGGTTTCCTTAAGGGAACAATCACTGCCTCCTTCCAGCTAACTGGCAACCAACCTCCCTGCCATACCTTATTATACAACATTAAAGGGGCCATATGATGAAAAATCCACTTGTACAGTGATTCTGAACCTATATCTGGGTAACCTGAGTGTCTACTGACCCACAAAATGTGAAATAAACCCATCCAGTCCTTTGTTTGTGGTCTGCATCCTTGTGATTTCACTGTGGGATTCTGGTAAAAAAAATACCCTCCCCTACCATGGACTCCACCCCCAGCCTAGAACAAAACTTTTGTGCAGGTCAGCAATTTTTAGTCTCCCTATTGAAAGAGTGACATCAACAGTGAAAACTCAAGGGGGGGGGGGGGGGGGGGGTCATTGCATTTAAAGAGACACACACACCAAAACTGAGCGTTCAGAGAGAGAGATTATTCAGGGTCACAAACCTCCTGTGGTGCTTGATTCATGTTTGATTCATGCCCAAATTTCCCCTTGTCACACCCTCCCCCTAAAGAACTTGGTCCCACCCAGTACCAATAAACAAAGTACCATATTTCCCAAATGTAGTAATCAAAACCCCAATATAACTTATACTATCCCAATGTTAGTTTCAGCTTCCCTCTCAGCAGCCTGGATCAGGTCCTAGGAGCACTTTAAAAAAAAACACAGGACAAACAAGGCAACCAAATGCAGTTTTTAAGACACCAGCCTAGATTTGGCATCTTTATACACCAGTGGCCATGTTCTATTGACAAGCCTAATAACTATCTTACAAAATCAGAGGGACAACACTGGCACCAACATACATGTCGGAATGGTGTAGCGCCCAAACAGAAACCAAACTTTCTGTCTCGGTGATGAGATCAAACAGTACAAAGTTAACCTCTTGAAGTAGCAACTGACAAGCCGCTCAAGCCCTAGCTTTCTTTCTTAAACTAACACGACTGCAGTTTCTACCTTTTCATGAGCTCTCAAGTCTTTCACTATCTGGTTTGTAACTTCCATGACAAACCCTCAAAGTGGTATCAAGAGTTGCTGGTGCCTCCTCTTCCCCATCAAAAAGTGCTCCCAAATCAGGTGGGAGAACAACACCAGGTGCATCCCCTCGAGATGTCCGGCAAAAAGAAGGACCCACCTCATCAGGACAGACAGCTGCAAACTCTGGACACCCCACAACAACCTCAGGTCCCTGCAAGACAAACTGCATCTCAACCACAACATCCAGAAACCTCCCATCAGCAAAGACACATTCCCCAGCCAAATCACTCCCCAGAACGCCAATCCCATAGACCGGCAGCTGAGAACAAACATCCAAAGAAACTCCCCCTTCTACCTTGTCTGAACCAAGGTCAGCTCCATGCACAGGTGCAGACACAACTTTTAATCCAAATCCCATGACAGGAACCAATTCCCCTGTGTCTGAGTCAGGTGAAAAAGACAAAACAGGCATGCTAGTGAAAATGTCTAGTGCACCCATGACACTTATTGAGCAAGGTTCACTGTGGCTCAAACTTTCCAAAATTGAACCATCAGCAAATTTACCCTCTTTAATGAGTTGCATTTTGTACTTTTCAAGCTCTAGTTTTTTCTTTTTCGTTTCAAATGTTAAACCTGCATCAACAAAACTAGGTGTAATGCCTGCCCCTATTTTAAGGACTCTTGCATCCAAAAAATTAGCTTTCAGAGGATTGTTACTCATACACAGAAGCCATTGTCAAAATCCCAAGTCAAGTCTGCCACTGATTAAATACCAAGTTTAAAAACCAACTTAACCAAACGTCTCAAAAAATGTAATATAACAAGTTAATCAGTCCAAGAAACAAAGAAAATATGCTGCTTTAATTTCCAAGCTTTATGGAGACACCCCAACACCTACACTAATAACTAACTCACCTAAGCCTCACTTCTTCAATGGCTTGTCGAGCTCGAGGCGTCTCCCAAACTCGGACACCATCCCAGAAGACCACTGACCTAGTCACCTGAAACACACCGAATTTGGTGCACCCCCTCCCCAGAGTTACCACCAAAAATAAAAAAAGGCAAAATAACAAAGTGGCAAGTCCTGCTTGCCCAGCGCCTTGCTGATCAGGCTGCTCAAAAATAAAACTCTTGTTCAAACAAAACAAACATCAAACAAACCTTGTTACACCATTGTAATTTTAAATATCAATTAATCAAAATGACGGTCAAACTAATAAGTACAAGTAATGCTCTCAAGAAAGTCAAATCGTTAAATCTTCAAACAAGAAAAACATGTGATTCTCCCAACAAATTGTACCAGTAACAAGTCAGAGAGGTTACTCACCACTCTGCACAGATCAAGTTCCAAACAAACTACACAAACAACCTGATACATAACTAATTAGACTTACAACTACCAAGTATCAAGCCAAATCCAAGTTCAAAAGTCAGACAAGCCCCCATTTTCTCACAACCCAGGCAAATCCTCCTAATCAAGGAATGTGCAAACTGTAAATCAGTGGTGATTGCAATGGTGAATGTGTGTAGTGTTGACGAGAGAGAGACAGAGAATAAGAAGCCAGTTTAAATACTGAGGCCCTGTGTGCCCAGGTGCACAACATCAAATTAAGTGGCTCCGCTCCTCTCTACCTGAAGTCAACCTGAGTGGGGAGAAACACAAGGCAGCAGAAAGAGCACTGACTGGGTGTGTGGTTATGGTGCACCACAAACAGTGCACAGTGATCTGGGTCAGAACTTCGAGTCCGAGGTGTTCCAGAAAATGGGCTCGCTGTTATTGAGAAAACGCACAACACACCCTTTCGACCACAGTCTGATGGACCGGTAGAAATATTTAACTCCACCCTGCAGAAGATTCTTGCCACAACAGCCGAGCGCTGACACAGGGACCTTATGATCCCCTACGTGTCAAGGCTTACAGAGCAACCAGACACAGCGCTACCAGTTTCACACCCAACTTCATGATGTTCGGCCATGAAGTTAGTGAACCGGAGGACCTGGTAACTGGCCTGCACCCCGACCCTTAAACAGCTCCTTCTTCCCCTGAGTATGTCCAGCAACTCCGGGAGAGTCGGAGTGGAGTTGGTTCATCGGATTGCCAGAGATGCACTGGGGGAGTCAGTGAAGCAGCGAAAAGGAAGTCAAAGAGAGAAATGATAACAGAACAAATATACACACAATTGAAGCATTTTTTTCCATATACCATTTAGTTATACACACTGAAGGCTTTAATGCATTTCTATTGTTTCTTCTAACAATATGTTGAGTAAATCCAGAATGCCAGATGACATCTACAGGTGTTGTCATTCAGTTTGTGATCAAAGGCTTCCGCAGTTTTGTGCCCAGTGGCCTCTGCCCTCTTAATTAATCCTGTGCATGTTCAGGTGTGATTGAGATTTTCTTTTTATTTCGTATTCTGACTGCAGGATTCTTATTAAGGGTTAAAGGTTTTCAGTTAAATCAACCTGGACCTGATCTGACTGTGGTCACTCTGCATCAGGATCTGCTGAGTTCCTTTTCTTTACCAAAGAGGCTTTAGGCACTCGACACAAAATAACACAAGTAGATGAAAGTCTATCTCACTCTACAAGGTGACACATGAGCTGTTTGAAGAACTTGTGCTACCCAACACAGAGGCCTCCAAAGAAACAGAGTGACAGAAAGAAGAGAAGATATCATGAGAGAAGAAGAATCCTTACACTGTAACTGTATCATATAAACACTTTAAATTCAAACGTCATAGATGATCCCAATTTACTGGTTCATATGTCAGCAACAAAACATCAATGTCAAAAAAGTAGAGACAGATTCATGTGAGTAGAATTGTCTTATATCCCTTTATAACAGCAGTTATACATCTGTTAGTCAATACATACTTATGAATACACATTAGTGATGTTAACTTGGAATCCTTTGGATCAGTTTTACCATTGCACAGGATTAGCATTTCTCTCCAGTGTGAATCATCATGTGTCTGGTCAGATATCCCTTAGAACTAAACCTTTTACCACACTCAGAGCAACTGAAGGGTTTCTCTCCTGTATGAATTAACATGTGATACGTCAGACTTTGTCTATGTTTAAAACTTTTACTGCAAACAGAGCAGCTGAAAGCTTTCTCTCCTGTATGAACTAACATGTGTGTGGTCAGATGTTCTCTTCGGGTAAAGCTTTTACTGCAAACAAAGCAGCTGAAGGGTTTCTCTCCTGTATGAACTAACATGTGTGTGGTCAGACTTCCTCTTTGGGTAAAGCTTTTACTGCAAACAGAGCAGCTGAAGGGTTTCTCTCCTGTATGAACAAACATGTGTGTGGTCAGATGTACTCTATTGTTAAAACTTTTACTGCAAACGGAGCAGCTGAAGGGATTCTCTGCTGTATGAATCATCATGTGTTTGGTTAGATTTCCTCTTTGGGTAAAGCTTTTACTGCAAACAGAGCAGCTGTAGGGTTTCTCTCTTGTATGTACGAACATGTGTCTGGTCAGAGTCCCTTTTCGGTTAAATCTTTTACCACACTCCGAGCAGCTGTGTGGTCTCTTACCAGTCTTTAGTTTCTTATTTTTCAAGTTTAATTCTGACAGGTGTTCTCCTGTCTCTTGCCAATCATGACTGTCATCAGTCTCAGGTTCATAAGAGTCTTCAGTCTCGACCTCAGTCTCTGGTTGTAAACGTCTCTCTGGATCTGAGTCTCTCTCTGGTTCTGCTCCTCCACAGTCCTCTCCATCAACTCCTGTTTCCATCTGTTCAGTTTGTCTCTGATGAAGCTGTGAGGACTGAGGTTTCTCTTCATCATCTTCACTCTTCACAGAGACAGGAGTGAAGGGGAACTTGGCGGTATCAGCCTCCTCCAGTCCTTGAAGCTGTTCTTCCTCCTGACTGATCCACAGTTCCTCATGTTCTTCTTTAATGTGTGGGGGCTTAGTGTCCTCCTGGTCCAGACTGGGGCTCCACTCCTGCTGCTCTTCTTTACTCACCACCTGGACGTCTGCAGAAACACACAAAGACATCAAATGTTATGGGAAAAAAAACAGCCCTTCATGCATTAACTGTTGTTGGCCTAAGGACTGTGTGTGTAACTCCTTTCTTAGCAGGTTTATGAAGGATTACTCCGATTCAATGAGAAAAGATACAAAATACAAGAATAATCCTTTTTTTAAGATTCATCTTTTAGGCTTTTTATGCCCCTATTAGAGAGACAGGACAGTGGAGAGAGAGAGGACAGGGGAGAGAGAGAGGACAGTTTAGAGAGAGAGAGAGAGAGAGAGAGAGAGAGAGAGAGAGGACAGTGGAGAAAGAGAGAGACAGAGAGAGAGAGCGAGAGAGAGAGAGAAACAGAGAGAGAGAGACAGAGAGAGAGACAGAGAGAGAGAGAGACAGGACAGTGGAGAAAGAGAGAGAGAGAGACAGGACAGTGGAGAAAGAGAGAGAGAGAGAGACAGGACAGTGGAGAAAGAGAGATGACAGTGGGGAGAGAGAGAGAGAGAGGACAGGGGAGAGAAAGAGAGGACCATGGAGGGGGGGGGGTTACATGCGGGAAAAGAGCCAAGGGTTCGAACCTCGGTGGCCCACTTTGAGGACTGTAGTCTCTATACTTCGGTGGCGTTAACAAACCACTAGGCCATCAGTGCCCCCAGAAGATCATTCTTAATTGATTCCACTAGAGGTGTATTTTACCATTTAAAGTATCGGAAGCATTCCACTCCAGAGCAACTAACATATGTCCAGGTCCCAGGCTTCTCCAGGAGCACAGTAACCTCTGCTTGTGTTCACTGTTATTCCCTCACTGTTTTGACAGAAGCACAGCTGCACTGATAGGGCTGGCCGTTACCATGACAACTAAGGTCACTTTATGGAGACCGGCCTTTATCTGGCCTGTTTCCCAGACACAGTTTCTCCACAGATGGAGCACAGGCACACACATGGTGGTGTCACTCAAAGCTTGTAGGCAAGAATTCATGACTAATGCATCCTAAATGTGGAAGCATCATATGATCATCAATATGGAAAAAAGACTGTCTGGATTTTAAACACGTGTAGTAAACACGTTTACAACCTGCGGCGTCACACCTGAAAAAATGACCTCACTGTTAGCAGGGACATCAGTAGATGAGCATGTGAAGGATGACACGCCAGATCATGTCCTTCTTTGGTGACACGTGTTGGAAGTGCTCAGTTATTTGATTGCCCAGAGAAGGATGACGAGGATGAAGAACTGCTCTAAGTGGAATAAAAAGATCGCAGCAGACTCCGGCTCCATCAGCATCCTCATCCCCCTAGACCTCTCTGCAGCCTTTGATACAGTCTCCCATACCATCCTCCTCAACCGCCTATCTGAACACCTTGGCATCTCTGGTCCAGCTCTCTCCTGGTTCCACTCCTACCTCTCCAACAGGCAACAGTTTGTCACCATCAGCGACTCCAGCTCCACCCCAGCCCCAGTTAACCAAGGAGTGCCGCAAGGTTCTGTGCTTGGCCCTCTTCTCTTCACTGTCTACATGCTCCCCCTCTGTCTGATAATCCGCCAACATGGTCTCAATTTCCACTCCTACGCCGATGACACACAACCCTACCTCAGCACCCTTCCTTCCACTAAGCACCCCCCTCCCCAGTCACTAGTCAACTGCCTGCAGGACATCAAAACCTGCATGTCTTCCAACCTCCGAAAACTCAACAGCAGCAAGACTGAGCTCATGGTCGTGGCCCCCAAGGCACTGCTCAGGAAGGTTGGAGATCTCCTCCTCACTGTGGACGACTGCTCCATTCGCCCTTCACCCGAGGTCTGTAACCTAGGCGTCATCCTGGACTCCACCCTCTCTTTTAAATCCCACATCAAGTCCATCACCAAATCCGCCTTCTTCCATCTCAAGAACATCTCACGACTCCGGCCCCTCACTCCCGACCCCGTCGCAGAGACCCTCATTCACGCCTTCATCACTTCACGCCTGGACTACTGCAATGGAGTTCTGTTCGGGCTACCAAATACTGCCCTGAACAGACTCCAATATGTCCAAAACTCCACTGCCAGGGTCCTCACACGCACCAAGCCCTCGCAGCACATCACCCCCACCCTCATTCACCTCCACTGGCTCCCGATCATGGTCTAGCCCCACCATACCTCACCGACCTCCTCCATCCCTACACCCCGTCCCGACAGCTGCGGTCCTCAGCCACAGGCCTGCTCTCCACCCCCCACACCAAACTGCTATCTTTTGGTGACAGAGCCTTCAGTGCCCCAGCCCCCACCCTCTGGAACTCTCTCCCCGCCAAAATCTGCACTGCTTCAACCTCCTCTAACACCACCTGTTCACCAAAGCATTCAGCCTCATCTAACACTCCCCCAGCTGATCACCCACTTCCTTTCTCCTTCATTTGTTTGTCTCTTGTTGTCTCCCCTTAAACTGCTTTTTAAATATTAATAAGGGCTGTCAAATGATTTCATTTTTAAAGGCTGAAAATCAATAGTTCACTTGAATTGATCACATTTTAATCATGTTTGGAATTCACTCATTTTGCATTTAAAAAACGTTTTTAATGCTTTTATTTTGTAATGCCTTAAGCTTAGGTTACTTTACTTCCTTTTTGGATACAAACCTACTTTTATTTTGAAAGAAAATCATTAAGTCCTGGAGAGCGGGCAGCCAAGGTTCGAATCCGACCTGTGGCTCCTTTCCAAAATGTCGAATATGATCAGACAGTATGTTGAACAGAAAGGCTGGCGTTATGTAAATGAGCCATGTGCTGCTGATCACTTCCTGATTATGTCAGATACTACCTCTTCACACACCAAAGTGCTGAGCTAGCTCAATCTTTAGGAAAGAATAAGATATGTGTCCAACAGAGAGTTTTTTGGAATTAAATTGCAGAAGCAAACTAGTTGCATTTTTTTTAATATAAAAAAATCGAGACTTTTTGTTATTAAACTACGTTCTTACACACACTTTGATGTAGGGATGTAACGATTCACTCAACTCACGATACGATTCACGATACAATTCTTTCACAATTTATTTTACAAATTGAGACTGAAGAAAGAAGATTCCTTTAATTTATTCATGAAAACACCATGGGGGGGGGGGGGGCACAGACACTTAAAGGGATCATGGTGTTCATGTGTTTCTTTTAATGACAGCAGTCAAAACAATTATTTCAACTTGTAACTGTCTGTCCAGCTTAGTTTTTGTTCCTGCAACTCCCTTTTCTGAGCGCACCTGAATGCATCTCTCATTGTCTGAGCACCCCTGAATGCAGCATGGTCACAGCGCATCTCCTGAGTAACGGCAGAGAGAGAGAGAGACATGCCCAGAAAAGTCTGAAGTAAGATAAGCGGCCTACTTTATTTTCTGATGGTTCTTAAGGACTTTTTATTATTGTGCACACCCAGGCCTCCGCTGGTGAAAGTGTGCTCACCTGTGTATGTGTGTGCATTGGGCAGGGCTGGCCCGTGGCATAGGCAGTGTGGGCAAATGCTAGGGGCGCCAGCCTCCATAGGGGGCGCCAGCCTCCATAGGGGGCGCCAGCCTCCATAGGGGGCGCCAGCCTCCATAGGGGGCGCCAGCCTCCATAGGGGGCGCCAGCCTCCATAGGGGGCGCCAGCCTCCATAGGGGGCGCCGCTGGTGCCCCAAATAAGTGAGGCAGAAAAGTTGAAGGTAAGAAGAAGAAATAGAAGGAAAAATGCGTTTAAATATCATTAAATATTATTCATCTAATATAATTTTCATGCTTTGATTTAGTTATGATCCAAAAGAAGCCATGAAAACACAACTATCACATTTAAAAAGGCTCTACTTTCTTGCCTCCTGCTTGGCCCTGCGCATCACAACACAGCTGATCGTTACCTGCTCGTTGTGGAGGAGGAGGGCAGGTAACATATTAGAAGTGAGTGACACTGACCACACTGATTAAAAAACAACAACAAAGCCCTTCGGAGCCCAGGGACGAAAAAGAAGAAGAGGAGGAAAATGTGAAAAAGACACAGAGGTAACGTGCTGCACAGACCAATGATTTATCTGTTGTATTTAAGCTAGCTTGTTATTGATGATGATAGTAACGTCAGTGTTTCCTAGCTCGAGTTAACATCAGTTATTTCCACTGTACTTTTATTAGGTTAAGATTATTCATGTTAAGAAAATAACCAGTGTAAGAAATACACTTCTTCTTTTGTATAGTAGGCTATATTGTTTGGGACACAAAACCTACTTTTATATTTATTGACATCTTACTTAGTTAGCTTTCACCCTCATTGATTAAAATGTTTATTTTCGTCCTCCTGTTGTCATTAATAGTTTTAAGCTCTTGCCTTTACAGTATCGATGTCTGAGAGCATTAATGCATTTTGTGCATGAAGTCCTCTCTGTATAGATATGTTTGCATGCTGTAGGTCTGGTTGTTAGGAAAACGTTTGGGCTCACCTGAAAAACTATGCTGACGTTTCTGTACTGCTCTGAACAGAAAATAATGTTTTGTGTTCACACTATATTATGAAATGCAGATTGTTTAACAAATGCTCATTTTCTCTCTCCAGATGCAATCATAAAACATTTTAATCCATCCCCTGCCGTCCCTGGGCCGTCTGTGACCACTTCTGCTCCCTGCACTGGTTGATATTCTTTGTTCTCTTTCACTAGTTATTTGTATTTATTTTATTTTGTATTTACTTATAGGAAATATTATTGTTATTACCATTTTGTAAATGTTTGTCTATAAGTATTTTATATTTTTAAATAAAGACATTCTATTAAATATAAAGCTGTATGCCAGTTTTCTTTAAGTTGATGACTATTGTCTTTGGTGGTCAAACTGTCTGCAATATGAGGGGCAACTGCTGAAATCTTGCCTAGAGCACCAACATGGTTAGGGCTGGCTCTGGCATCGGGCCGAAACTCCGCCGTGTGTGACACAGAGAGCAGAGGAGAATGGTAAACGACCATGTAGAGACAGAAATGACATGATGCCGTCGTGTAAAGAAGATAGAATAAACTATCGTTTCTGAAGTGGAGGCTGGCTTGACCGCAGTCTGATGCAGAGGGTGGCCTGAAGTTTGTGTGCCCAAAGATACAACTGAATAGCATATTGTTAAGGTTTCTAAAACGTATCTCCAATAACCAGATCCGTTGCTGGATTCAATAGGTGAAGACTTAAAGAGTCTTTTAGTCCAGTAAACTCAATGATGTTGTTAGCAGGAGCTAGCTGCAGCTAACACTGTGCTGTGTGCGTCTGTGGAAGTTAGCTAAAGGCTCTGCTATCTGAAACATGAGCAGGAAACACGTTTCCAGCAGTGGAAAGAAAACCAACCTGTTCTCTGTAGCTTGATTTCAGGAGTTAAAATCACATCCAGCAGTTTTCTTTGTCGGTGGAGCTCCTCTTCGTATCCACTTGTTGTTCTTTCTTCTGTTATATCTCTGATAACCGCAGCGAGCAGCCGTCGACTGAATAACTCTTTAAGATCCTTAAACCCGGCCATCTTACACACATCCAAGAGTCACAGAGGGAAACTCAACTCAGCGCTGACGTCTTTACAACTTTACTCTGATCATCTACTGTTACGTTAGCACCCTAACGATCATTAATAAACACACGGAGAATCACGTGTCTGCTCAGCAGGAGCGTTTACTCACAACTTGTGTTACACACTCAATGGTCCGGGTGGAAACAACCCGCTTTAGTTCCCTTTACAGAACATCTACAACGTTAACACAGACACACACGCGCTAAGAAACAACCGGAAATAAACGCAATATCCTTTATTTCTTCTTCTGACTTCCGGTAAGATGGCGGACCGGGTGCAGCGTATTTTCTGAGCTCCGTCTGCTTGTCCCAATTTTACACATACTTTAAAATCCACCTCAATTCTATGTGATCGTATGAATCTCTAATACATCATACCGACGCTTTAACCTTACAGTGCTCCGGAAATTGCAGCATGAAGACGAACAAGAAGCTCTCTTCAGCCCGCAGTAGCTCGGAGATTTACGGCCATGATGATGCTAAGATGGAGGTCTCTACCGAGAGCTCCAAAAGAAAAGAGCCTTTCTCTCCAGCGAAGAACCCACCAGCAACTAAAAAGAAGGACACTGGGTCAGAGGAAGGTAGGGAAGGAATGAACGAAGTCCTGAACACTATAAACCAGCTAACTGGAACAGTGGACACTCTAGGTACAGATACAGCAACACTCAGTGATGCTAGCTAACATAGCTAAAGTAGTTGAGTTCAATGCTGCAGAAATAAAGGACTACTCAGAGTAAACAAGAAGCGAGTCGTGCGGACCCATGTGACACTGGACTAAAGGAAAACCCTTCAAAATAAAAGCAGGACAAAAGACTACATAGATAGCGATACTAGACCATAGACTGTAAAAAGAATGGACGGTCCCCGGTGTAGTGAAGCTTTTATTTGTAGAGCTCCCCCTACTGACTGGCTGCAGTATAGGTCATAAGCCCCGCCTCCTCAATGATAACAGATGGGATGTGGGTCAAACTGGAAAGTTAAAATACTCGTCATATCATTTTTTTCCAAACCTAAACTCTGCTGTGATCATGAGTTATTATCATCCTACATTGTGTTCAAGTGCTCATTTTTCTGTGAACTTTGTTTTAAATAAGTTATTTGAGATTGAAAAACTGGATTTTACGTCATATTTGACGATGATTGACAGCCGCCGATCTTGCGTAGCTCTCTTTGTGAATAACAAAAGTTCCGTAGTGAAGGAAAGCCGAGACGCCGTTGAACTTTTCCACTCCGTGTTTGTCTCTCCTGGACTGACTGAAGGAGTTGTTCTGCTGTAAACACATCTAACCAACCTGTGGGATTGAAGGATATCTGCATTAACTTGGTAAGTTGAAATGTTTAATGTGCTGTTCGGGGGTAATGTCGTTAGCTAGCTAGCTAACACTGAAGTAGGCTAACGGAGCTAACGTTATGGTGTCAGTAATATGTTACTGATAGCTGGCTGTGACGGACATTATTTCTCTTTTTATTTCAGTAAAGAATCGGGGGGGAATCCTGAAACTATGCTGGCTGTGCTTCATGATACTATAACTTCACTGTGCTCGAGATTCATATTAGTAAAGGATCAGATCCGTAGTAAAGTTCAGCAGATAGTTGCTGCATCACCGACAATAACTTTACTTTACAGTCTGTTAAAGTTAAATAGAATATGTCCTGATGGTCTGCATTATATAACTTTACAGTCTGTTAAAGTTAAATAGAATATGTCCTGATGGTCTGCATTATATAACTTTACAGTCTGTTAAAGTTAAATAGAATATGTCCTGATGGTCTACATTATATAACTTTACTTTACGGTCTGTTAAAGTTAAATAGAATATGTCCTGATGGTCTGCATTATATAACTTTACAGGCTGTTAAAGTTAAATAGAATATGTCCTGATGGTCTACATTATATAACTTTACTTTACGGTCTGTTAAAGTTAAATAGAATATGTCCTGATGGTCTACATTATATAACTTTACAGTCTGTTAAAGTTAAATAGAATATGTCCTGATGGTCTACATTATATAACTTTACGGTCTGTTAAAGTAAAATAGAATATGTCCTGATGGTCTACATTATATAACTTTACGGTCTGTTAAAGTTAAATAGAATATGTCCTGATGGTCTACATTATATAACTTTACAGTCTGTTAAAGTTAAATAGAATATGTCCTGATGGTCTACATTATATAACTTTACTTTACAGTCTGTTAAAGTTAAATAGAATATGTCCTGATGGTCTGCATTATATAACTTTACAGTCTGTTAAAGTTAAATAGAATATGTCCTGATGGTCTGCATTATATAACTTTACTTTACAGTCTGTTAAAGTTAAATAGAATATGTCCTGATGGTCTGCATTATATAACTTTACAGTCTGTTAAAGTTAAATAGAATATGTCCTGATGGTCTACATTATATAACTTTACAGTCTGTTAAAGTTAAATAGAATATGTCCTGATGGTCTGCATTATATAACTTTACTTTACAGTCTGTTAAAGTTAAATAGAATATGTCCTGATGGTCTGCATTATATAACTTTACAGTCTGTTAAAGTTAAATAGAATATGTCCTGATGGTCTGCATTATATAACTTTACTTTACAGTCTGTTAAAGTTAAATAGAATATGTCCTGATGGTCTGCATTATATAACTTTACAGTCTGTTAAAGTTAAATAGAATATGTCCTGATGGTCTGCATTATATAACTTTACTTTACAGTCTGTTAAAGTTAAATAGAATATGTCCTGATGGTCTGCATTATATAACTTTACAGTCTGTTAAAGTTAAATAGAATATGTCCTGATGGTCTACATTATATAACTTTACAGTCTGTTAAAGTTAAATAGAATATGTCCTGATGGTCTACATTATATAACTTTACAGTCTGTTAAAGTTAAATAGAATATGTCCTGATGGTCTACATTATATAACTTTACTTTACAGTCTGTTAAAGTTAAATAGAATATGTCCTGATGGTCTGCATTATATAACTTTACGGTCTGTTAAAGTTAAATAGAATATGTCCTGATGGTCTACATTATATAACTTTACAGTCTGTTAAAGTTAAATAGAATATGTCCTGATGGTCTACATTATATAACTTTACAGTCTGTTAAAGTTAAATAGAATATGTCCTGATGGTCTACATTATATAACTTTACAGTCTGTTAAAGTTAAATAGAATATGTCCTGATGGTCTACATTATATAACTTTACTTTACAGTCTGTTAAAGTTAAATAGAATATGTCCTGATGGTCTACATTATATAACTTTACAGTCTGTTAAAGTTAAATAGAATATGTCCTGATGGTCTACATTATATAACTTTACAGTCTGTTAAAGTTAAATAGAATATGTCCTGATGGTCTGCATTATATAACTTTACGGTCTGTTAAAGTTAAATAGAATATGTCCTGATGGTCTACATTATATAACTTTACAGTCTGTTAAAGTTAAATAGAATATGTCCTGATGGTCTACATTATATAACTTTACTTTACGGTCTGTTAAAGTTAAATAGAATATGTCCTGATGGTCTGCATTATATAACTTTACTTTACAGTCTGTTAAAGTTAAATAGAATATGTCCTGATGGTCTGCATTATATAACTTTACTTTACGGTCTGTTAAAGTTAAATAGAATATGTCCTGATGGTCTGCATTATATAACTTTACTTTACGGTCTGTTAAAGTTAAATAGAATATGTCCTGATGGTCTGCATTATATAACTTTACGGTCTGTTAAAGTTAAATAGAATATGTCCTGATGGTCTGCATTATATAACTTTACGGTCTGTTAAAGTTAAATAGAATATGTCCTGATGGTCTACATTATTAATAACATTAACAGTTGTTCAGTCTGCTCAGTGTGCACAGGCTGTAAGAATAACAGGCTTGACTTTCTTCCGCTCCCCGTGATGCTGCTGCAGGGCTGAAATTTAACATTAATATGTGGAAGAGGCAGAATATTTCTACATGTGTTCAGATAACACTAAAGTTATTATCTGGTTCAATAATGTCTCTAACTGTTCAAAGAAAAGAAACAGAATGGACATGTTAAACATCAGCAGCCGACAGTGAAATGTAATATGAAACAAACATGATTTGGACTCAAAACGGGCTGATCATATTCTACTAAGACTTCAACAGGTTGACTTTAGTGTCAATTTACTTTAGTTTATATTTAAGACTTCAACAGGTTGACTTTAGTGTTCATTTACTTTAGTTAACATTCAAGACTTAGGCACACTACCAGGAGTCAATTCAATAGTTTACAGTTGAGTTGTTGTGACTGGTTCAGATTATTCAGAATTAGTTCAGAAATACTCTTCTTGCTTTGCTCCATGATTATGTGATTCATATGTCATATAATAACTTTCCTGTTTTTAACACTATTTATGTTCAACTAGATTCATTTCTATTTAAAATGCTCTTTTGGACATTTCATTATCATATTTGTCTGTTATAACTTTTTAGTTTTAGACTTAAATTTTAACCTCTCAAATAACAAAGCAGTCTCAAATCTTTTTGAGGAATTATAGCTAAAAAATGAATTCTACTTTGCATACAGTACATCCTCTGATAAATAAAGTGAAGTACTTTGATGCAGCCAGACTGAAGCAGCAGGTTGTGAAGGTGGACGCCATCATCTGGTCTTTGCAGTGCTGATTCTGAAGAGAACGCCTTCACATAGGACTCAAAGGTAAAATGATCTCTCATATGATTGGACCGTGTTATTGTAACTGCTATCAGCATCAAAGTAATTTTAGTAACAATTTATAATCCTTCTTAAAATGTAAGGAAGACTAGCAGAAGATTTTAACAGCCTCTATGGTTCTGCAAGAAGTCTAATTCATTCAATTGTTCTTCTTTCTGTCTTCAAGGAAATCAGTGCTCAAAGGAAACAGCAGTCCAGAGTCTGATTCCAGCTCCGGTGAGGTTCTGCACACAAATTGGCTGTCTGATTCGTTTAATGGGTAATTACCACAAAAAACCAAATCAGTACATTAAATTTACTTTTTTTTTAAGCTAAACACTGAAGCTACTTCTGCATATTTCTAATGAAGCACAAGAATCCAACTGACTGCAGTTGCTCACACTGCTGAAATCATGTCTCACTGTTTAAGTTTCACAGTTGTACTGTGAGTATCTGTAACTTAAGAAATCAACAGGAGACACTGTGGTGCAGTGTCTGGTAAAATTATTACATTCATGTACGAATGAACACAATACTTTTCTGCAGGATTGTTCTCTCATTCCTTATCTGCAGCTGCAGTATCCTGTTTTACCACTTCAACTTCATCATCACACCTCATTATATTGGACCGCCTGCACTTGACGCTTTTGTGAATAAGAATGGTCAAAAGATGTTTCACATGCCCTTTCTGTGACACGCTGAGAGCCTGAAGCAGAACGCCTGAGTTAACAGACAAAGTTCATAATCAGCTCATGCTATCAGATATCTTTATCTGCAGCTTCTGGCTTTGCTGAACCAGCTTTCTTAAAGAAAACCTGGATATGTTGAACTTGCTTCAGATACAACAAATGACCCAATTTACTGATCAATAACCTAAACAACTAAATACCGCCACCTAGTGTCTAAAGTGAGTTTTGTCTAAACTAAATGTGTTGATGTGTTTGCACTTCAGAAATAAAAGTTTCCATGGCTAACAAAAACCAGTATAAACCAGTTCTGCTCATCTGTCTGTCCCTGTCCATAGGCTCACTGACTTGAAGAGAGAGGACACTTGGCTTTAATGTACGAGACACACAAGTCCCAGATTGAATCACTCTATCAGGTAAAGAGCTGTCTCACTTTAAAGTGATATAAGAAGGTGGAGTATTAAAGAATCATACTAAGTAAGCCACAGTCCGTCTAACACTGAGTTAATATAAACTCTATATATATTAAAATATACAAGTTTCTGATTTCTGCCTCTCAGGTTGATTCTGCTGTTTCAGTTTTCACCTGTTAGCTCACATCCCTGGTTACTGCTGAGTCATAGGCAAAAGTTAATTATTGTAACCCTGTTTATGTCGTGATTATATGAGAATATTTAACATTAGTTTAATTTATCAGGCTGGCCCATGTGATGACAGTTTAAAATAATCTTCAATAGAAAGTAGCAGGAACACTTTTGTCTTAAAACATAAATTCATAAAGCTGATCATATTATTAGATTCATCATGTCTTATTATATATTTTGTTTTTCCTCTTTAATAGTTCTCCTGTCTTTAAAGCAAACTTTAGAAGCTGAAGTTTAGCAGAACCTGAGGACAGATCTGATTTCAGGTCTGAGGCATAAACATCACAGTAAAATTCATTATACTTTACATTAAACTCCATGATTACTTTTCTTTATTCCAGAAGATGCTCTCAGATTCAGATCCATCAGCAACCCCTGACAACATGGAGGACTCATCCCCCGACAACATGGAGGACTCGTCCCCCGACAACATGGAGGACTCGTCCCCTGAGTGTTTCCTGTCCTCTCTTGATGGTCTTCTTCTCTTCAGTTATTAACTCTTGAAAACAGCAGCACAACATGCCAGACTGTTTGACAAGTCTGTGATTGAATAAATGGAAATGGAATCTCATACGTATCTTGCTATGCTTATTGGCTTTAAATGTTTAATATTAAATAAGTTTGAAGGCCATTTATCTCAGACGAGCCGGCTGTGACAAGCTGAGCTCGTCTGTTAGCTTTGCTGTTGTCTTAGCTGTTGTTGGTCAAGAAGAAATGAATGTCAGTTCAAGGCCTTTCAAATGTGAGCTATAAACTTAACTGCTAAATTATTTTACAGTGACCAACACTTTGTCGTACTCCAGTTAATCAGAGACAGTCAAAAAGTTTATTTAAACATTTTATGTAAAAAATCTTGTCCATTAGTGCATGTCCATAGGATCCTGTTTGTGTGCATGTGTGTGTGTATATACTTTAGCCTATGTGTGTGTTCATGACTACAGAGTGTAAAAACTGAAATTTCCCCTTGCGGGGATCAATAAAGGAAATCTTATCTTAATCTTATCAGGTCAAACTGCTGGGACATAGGAGAAAGTATAAAAAATAATTTAACAAAGAAATCCAAACAAAAATCAAATAAAGTAAAGAGATCCTGGATGATTGTTTGACTGTTAAAATATGATGGAAGAGCAAATCCAACACAACCCTCCAGCATCTGGCCTTTCAAACACAGGGCAACATCATGGAAAGAAAAATAAATTAAATATTGACCTGGATCTCTGTGTTTTATCTGAGGATGACTATGGTAGCCTTCTCACTGTTCACTGTCACAAAGCACCAGACTCTGTCCACCTTCTTCAGACGTCGATCAGCTCCTCTGGGTGATGGCAGAGAGGACTCTTCATCTGGGAGAGCTGCTGGTGTAAGGTCATTTCTACCACAGTGGATGAGCAGGGCATCTGGCACAGGTGAAAAAAGGAGGAGGTTCCTTCAAACTAAGAGACCCCAGCCTGACCTCTGTAACAGGTGTGCAGATGAAGGTTGAAATGAGTCATTTTTAGGTTCTGTTGATTGTAAAATGGAAAAGAAAACATCACCTTTCTATTTAACATTTAGCTGGTGTATGACTCAGTGTGATTTTTATTTTAGAAGACTGTATTGTTAACAATAGCTTGTTTTTACAAATGTCCTCTTATGAAACTTCAAAAACAATCACAGGATATAAACTTTTAACAGATGATTTTAACTTACACTTCACCTCTGTGGAAGATGTCAGACCAGTTGGATTGATAGTCTTCTTTGCCTAAATGAAAATACAGAAAACAATTGATTTACTGTTCACTTAACTATATTAGAAAAGGAGACATGACTCACATTGCAGACTATCAGTTTCTAACAGAATACAACATATCTTACCACCTGTAGTCTACGGTCTGTGGTGCTAACCTAGCTTAAATATAGAAGGATTTCATTAAAACCAGAGGACCCAGCAGCCCACGTGTTTTCAATAATGATCAAAATAGCTGGATTTTTAAAAACACTGTGTTTAAATATTAGACTTTGAATACGGTGGTTTGTTGTACTTACACATTTCTTCATAAGACTCGTAGACCGGCAGAGCGCTTTCAGCGTAGCTGGGCTGCGTAAAGCCCAATTCACACATACTGTGTGCGCGCCGCGGTCCGTGCTCGCCCCACACTACGTTGTACTTAGCTTCCACTCGAGTCTGTGGCCCTTTTTCAAACCACACCCTACACCCTCCCCCTCCGTGACGGAGTGCACTCCGTCAGAAGTCACACTCGCAGCTGAGTGAAGTCTCCTTCATCAAGCTGTAGGTAGAGATACAGCGGCAGGCTTTGGGACAAACTTCCCTCTCACACACAGAAACAGGAACTGTGTGTTACCATGGTTACTCAGCGGCATCTTGCGGGAATGTTTTTTTTTGTAGCTAATGCATTCTATAAAAATCTTTATGTAGCCTAGATTCTTCTTCTTCTTTAGTTATATTAGTGTAGACTTATAACAAAACTATTAGATTGAGCCTACATTGTTTATTGTAATTTATAATTTAAGTTAATTTATTGTAATCTTTAGATCAGGTTGTCCTAAATTAATGTAAAGACAAGGAGATTATTGTTGAACATCAGAGCAGCACAAAGTCTATTTTTTATTGTTGAATTGAGATTTCACAAAGACATCAAAGTAAAATAAAGAAAGAAGAAATAAATATTAACAGCGAAAAGTTGTCTGCAACCTGATTTAATATTCTTTTGTTTTTGCAACAGTCCCTGTAAATATAAAACACTTTACAATAAATAAACATAAATTTGATCCTCAGAACACATAAAGTTGTTAACGTCTGTATGATGATATTAAATGTGTATCTTAGTTGGAGCAGTGTTTGAACTCACAGGTTACTGTCTCCATGACGACCGGACACAAGAGGCGTTGCACGTGATCCGAAAGTCGCCATCGGTTCAGACTCGCTGGTGGAGGGTTTTAACCCACTACCACTCCCCACTAGTTGGTTTGGGACGGACTTAATAGGGCGGACCCTCCGCGAGGACGCGCAAACGGAGGGGTAGTGGGTAGTGGGTAGTGGGTAGGGTGTAGTGGGTAGTGGGTAGTGGGTAGGGTGTAGTGGGTAGGGTGTAGTGGGTAGGGTGTAGTGGGTAGGGTGTAGTGGGTAGTGGGTAGTGGGTAGGGTGTAGTGGGTAGGGTGTAGTGGGTGGTGGGTAGTGGGTAGGGTGTAGTTGGTAGTGGGTAGTGGGTAGGGTGTAGTGGCCGGTTTGAAAAAGGGCCTATCATTGTGTTCACACAGGGCGCGCTGCGGTCCGTCTCCGGCGCGTGCCACTGACGTCACTGCGCTCTGCTCCGATTCAAATACGCAGCGAGTCTATTTTCAATGGAGTACGCTGGAGGCACGCGTCAAACTGGATAGAATATGACAGCCCGGACAGGAAGTCAGACAAGGAAACGCACAGATCATCCGGTCAATTTCAAAATAAAAGACAATATACGGACTCGCAATCGTATTTTTCATCACTTTATCAACATTATGTCAAAACAGGAACCGAATGAACAACAATGCATTCTCAGAAAGACAAAGCATTCTCAGAAAGACAAAGCAACATGTTGTTTGCATGTTTTTCTCTTCATTCCCGCAGGATCTTGTAGTTCTCCTGTGATGTGTTATGGGTGCGCTCCGCTGCGCTCCGCTGCGCTGATGTCCCAGAAACGAATCCAGTGTGAATACAGGTGAGCACACTTTCACCAGCGGAGGCCTGGGTGTGCACAATAATAAAAAGTCCTTAAGAACCATCAGAAAATAAAGTAGGCCGCTTATCTTACTTCAGACTTTTCTGGGCATGTCTCTCTCTCTCTGCCGTTACTCAGGAGATGCGCTGTGACCATGCTGCATTCAGGGGTGCTCAGACAATGAGAGATGCATTCAGGTGCGCTCAGAAAAGGGAGTTGCAATAACAAAAACTAAGCTGGACAGACCGTTACAAGTTGAAATAATTGTTTTGACTGCTGTCATTAAAAGAAACACATGAACACCATGATCCCTTTAAGTGTCTGTGCCCCCCCCCATGTTTTTTTTATGAATAAATTAAAGAATCTTTTTCAGTTATCTCAAAATGTTTCTTCAGTCTCAATTTGTAAAATAAATTGTGAAAGAATTGTATCGTGAATCGTATCGTGAGTTGAGTGAATCGTTACATCCCTACATCAAAGTGTGTGTAAGAACGTAGTTTAATAACAAAAAGTCTCGATTTTTTTATATTAAAAATATAAAGAATGCTTGCTTCCGCAAATTAATTGCAAAAAAAACTCTCTGTTGGACACATATCTTATTCTTTCCTAAAGATTGAGCTAGCTCAGCACTTTGGTGTGTGAAGAGGTAGTATCTGACATAATCAGGAAGTGATCAGCAGCACATGGCTCATTTACATAATGCCAGCCTTTCTGTTCTACATACTGTCTGATCATATTCACCGTTTTGGAAAGGAGCCACAGGTCGGATTCGAACCTTGGCTGCCCGCTCTCCAGGACTTAATGATGATGATGATGAGAAACCTCAATCTTCACAGCCTTAGACAAGTTCCTTATTTTCTTTCAAAATAAAGGTAGGTTTGTATCCAAAAAGGAAGTAAAGTAACCTAAGCTTAAGGCATTACAAAATAAAAGCATTAAAAACGTTTTTTAAATGCAAAATAAGTGAATTCCAAACATGATTCAAATGTGATCAATTCAAGTGAACTATTGATTTTCAGCCTTTAAAAATGAAATCATTTGACAGCCCTTATTAATATTTAAAAAGCAGTTTAAGTACCGTTAATGTTTGTTTACTGTGTCCTGCAGATGTCCAGCAGCTGTTGGTGTGTAAAGAAGAGCTTCCACCTGAACAGCAGGAGTGGAGCCACATTCTGGACCAGGAGGACACTAAGCCCCAACACATTAAAGAAGAACATGAGGAACTGTGGATCAGTCAGGAGGAAGAACAGCTTCAAGGACTGGAGGAGGCTGATGCCACCAAGTTCCCCTTCACTCCTGTCTCTGTGAAGAGTGAAGATGATGAAGAGAAACCTCAGTCCTCACAGCTTCATCAGAGACAAACTGAACAGATGGAAACAGGAGTTGATGGAGAGGACTGTGGAGGAGCAGAACCAGAGAGAGATTCAGATCCAGAGAGACGTTTACAACCAGAGACTGAGGTCGAGATAGAAGACTCTGATGAACCTGAGACTGATGACAGTGATGATTGGCAAGAGACAGGAGAAGATCTGTCAGAATTAAACTTGAAAAATAAGAAACTAAAGACTGGTAAGAGACCACACAGGTGCTCAGAATGTGGTAAAAGATTTAACCAGAAAGGCCACCTGACCAGACACATGTCAGTTCACACCGGAGAGAAACCCTTCAGCTGCTCTGTTTGCAGTAAAAGCTTTACCCTAAGAGGAAATTTAACCAAACACATGATGATTCACACAGGAGAGAAAGCCTTCAGCTGCTCTGTTTGCAGTCAAAGCTTTACACATAGACAAAGTCTGACCAGACACATGTTAGTTCATACAGGAGAAAAACCCTTCAGCTGCTCTGTTTGCAGTAAAGGTTTTACCCAAAGAGGAAGTCTGACCACACACATGTTATTTCATACAGGAGAGAAACCCTTCAGCTGCTCTGTTTGCAGTAAAAGCTTTACCCGAAGAGGAAGTCTGACCACACACATGTTAGTTCATACAGGAGAGAAACCTTTTAGATGCTCTGTTTGCAGTAAAAACTTTACCCAAAGAGAACATCTGACCACACACATGTTAGTTCATACAGGAGAGAAACCTTTTAGATGCTCTGTTTGCAGTAAAAACTTTACCCTGAGAGTACATCTGACCAGACACATGTTAGTTCATACAGGAGAGAAACCCTTCAGCTGCTCTGTTTGCAGTAAAAGCTTTACCCAAAGAGGAAGTCTAACCAAACACATGTTATTTCATACAGGAGAGAAACCCTTCAGCTGCTCTGTTTGCAGTAAAAGCTTTACCCGAGGAGTACATCTGACCAGACACATGTTAGTTCATACAGGAGAGAAAGCTTTCAGCTGCTCTGTTTGCAGTAAAAGCTTTACCCGAGGAGTACATCTGACCAGACACATGTTAGTTCATACAGGAGAGAAAGCTTTTAGATGCTCTGTTTGCAGTAAAAGCTTTTCCCTGAGACAACATCTGACGTATCACATGTTAGTTCATACAGGAGAGAAACCCTTCAGCTGCTCTGAGTGTGGTAAAAGGTTTAGTTCTAAGAGATATCTGACCAGACACATGATGATTCACACAGATGACCTTCTGCAGTTGTTTGCAGTAAAAGCTTTACCCAAAGAGGAAATCTGACCAAACAGATGATGATTCACACAGGAGAGAAATGCTAATCCTGTGCAATGGTAAAACTGATCCAAAGGATTCCAAGTTAACAACATCACTAATGTGTATTCATCAGTATGTATTGACTAACAGATGTATAACTGTTATAAAGGGATATAAGACAATTCTATTCACAGGAATCTGTCTGTACTTTTTTGACATTGATGTTTTGTTGCTGACATATGAACCAGTAAGTTGGGATCAGCTATGACGTTTGAATTTAAAGTCTTCATATTGTTGAAAGATCAGAAAGAGTTATGCAATTGTTGAATTTGTTTTCATCATATATTTACTCTTTCTTTTATTATCATTTAATCCATTTATCATTTACTTCATAGATTTACTTTTTCTTTTTATTATCATTTAATCAATTTATCATTTACTTCATATATTTACTTTTACTTTTGTTGTCATTTAATCTTTTCATCATATTCATTCATATGTCATATTGTCGCTATGACTTTTGGTTTTTGGCTTTTTTGGAAAAAAGCGACCGTCTGGCTATAAAAACTCTGTGGAAAAGCTGATCGGGGTTCTTTTTTACTTTTCTAAAGGACTCCACGTCACTCTGACTTTTGAATCCCCATTTTGGGACTTAGTCTCTGAGACCAAGATCTTTTAAAACCTCAAGTGTCTACACTCTTGGGTTTAGACTTTGGTCTTTGTGTGTTGCTTTTCTTTTTACATTTTTAAATTTTCACTTTTACTGTTTTGTATTTACATTTGGAATATCATTTGAAGTTTTTTAATAAATTTTCCGAAACTTTTTGGAATCATTTTCTGACTGAAATTATTTACACCACAAAGACCTGAGTCTCCCTTAAGGACCCCGTGAACCTCGGAAGGTAAGCTTGAGCAGTCACACCACGGCACACTTCTACTGACTTTTACTACACACTTCATACACACCTAACATCCTAGCGGGGAGAGATTACAGTTATTCCCTCTCTGGGGGGTAATCTAGAGTCCTATACCAGGGGTTATTCTTGAATCTAATTATTCTAGAAATTAATGTTAGGCAGATAATCCTAGGGCTGTGATTATAACAAGTCCTCTGTCCTCCAAAGGGTGTTAGCGGAGTAATTTTACATAGCTTCAGGTACTAGGAAAGAGTAGAATAGCAGCTGGTAGGGAGTGAGCTCTCACTTAGTTCTAGGAAAGAGTAGTCTAGTTAACTAATGCGTGGTGAGCTTCCGTTAGCTATAGTAAAGTTATTCACCCCTTTTTTGGGTGAATAACAGGACATGCTACAGTTGGGCCATGCAGGCTTAAGACAGTCAAACAATGGACTTGGGCCTGCACCTCTGTGAGAAGCCTCATTTGAGTTATTCACTGAGATCACAAAGAGGCCTAAAAGGACTCTCAATTCCAGAATCGCCTGCGGTACTTCACACCTACACGTGAAGTAAGGGGGAGACCGGAACCTCTCTCTCCTCATTGGAGGGGACCTGAGGTAGACCCCCCATGAAGCAGGCCAGGCTACAAAGCTCCAAGACTTCCATTGTTCTTTCTCTTTCCACGCGCTGACTTCAAGTGCTCGGAGACACAAGCTTACCTCCTGTTTCTGCAACAATCTTCCGTTGTTTTAAGTTTGGTGCGCAGGTAATCCGCGGCGGGCAGCGTTCTAAATTCCGAGCTCGGATTGTCCAGTGAACGCATCTCAGTTTCTCGGAGAGCGTCAGACTATAACAGATTATCAGAAAGATAACGGTCTTATTCCGTCCTGCAACGAAAGGACATCAACGGACATCTTTCCACTCGACGGAGAACCAACGAAGCCGCTCTCGCCGTAAGGGACCCTCGCCGCCATCAGACGCCTCTGCACCAGGACGGACAGAAGATCTGCTCCATCGCCGGACTCTTTTCCTTTCACCAATCGCAGACAAAGCGAGTCACAAGTGAGGCTTAATTAGGTCTGGGCAGAATTAGCTTTAGAGTGTTTTTAACAATTGTTGATTGAAGCAGAAACTGTAATTTTTATCTTTGTTGGACCGCTGCGTCCTGAGTTTTAACTGTTTAAAACTCTTGTTGTTGTTTCGGACCGCTGCGTCCTATATGTGTTTAGCGTAACAGCGTTATAACCGGGTATTACTCTTCTGATCAGAAAGGCCAGTGTAAGCCGTATTAACTTGAATTCGGCTATTGGTTTGTTTCTGTGAATGAAGGGAATTACTCCGAGTTGTGGCGCGGGAGTCGGACTGTGATCCGGCCTCTTCAGGCACGCATCTCTCTCTTTCGTTTCTCCCCCTTTTACTAACACACACAGACATACGCACATCCACAGATTCCCGTGTAGACGCACATCTGGAGACTAACTCCACCACCGCGCCATTATGCACATAGGCTACACACACACACACACACACACACACACATAGAGATCTGTACACTTGCGGCCATCCAGACGCCTCAGAGACACCGATCGTGCAGGGCCAAACTCGGCCTCTTTAAGACAATAAGACCACTAGGTCTTTGTTAGGTGTGCGCCATCGGAAGGGCGACCACGTGGGAAGAAGCAATCTCCCCCTTTTCCCCCTCCTCTCTCTCTTTTATTCACAGACACAGAGACACACGCACGCACCCAGGTCGTTAGGTGTGCGCCATCGTGAGTGACCACGTGGGTACAAAGCCATCTCCTCCCTTTCTTCCCCTCCTTTCTCTCTCTTCCACACACACACCTCTTACACAAGCCTTGCTTGATAATGTTTGTTGCTTAGATTAGTTTATAATAGTTATTTGTTTGATTAAGTTCATTGATTTTGGATTGATGTTGCTTTGTTTAAATAAATTCTGTTATAATTTAAGAGAGCAGTTGTTTGTGAATACTGGTGTATTTACATATTGATATAAGGTGGATGCGAATGCTTTGTTTAGGGATTTCACGCCTTCAATTTATTAAATATAGTTATTAATTAAGTAACTAATGTGAGACTGATTTGAGTGATATTTTGGTTATATTTCCCTAATTACAGGGTGGTGTCCCAAACGAGATTAAACATAGTTTAATGATATTGTTATTTATATTATTAATAATTAAATATAATTATTAAAGAATATAACCAAAGTTGACTTGATACAACCCCAACACTACAATATGAAACAGTTACAGTGTAAGGATTCTTCTTCTCTCCTGATATCTTCTCTTCTTTCTGTCACTCTGTTTCCTTGGAGGCCTCTGTGTTGGGTAGCACAAGTTCTTCAAACAGCTCGTGTAACTGTAGCAGCCCTCGACCGAGACAACATATGAGGAAGCGTGGAGTTCGACTGATGCGATTTATTTATTTCTTTTTGAGCACCGTGAAACTAGAAAAAAGGCAAAATAAAGCCAAAATTAACATTCAGAAAACAGTGTGTTCAATTCATTACAGATATACAAATATTTACAATTCATTCCTAAACAAACATTTCACAGTGCAACACTACTTTAAACAAACACAAACAATAACATCCACATCACAACAGGCCTGATTCAAACACACAACGCATCACATTAAACACTTACAACAATATTGCACAATCCCTTATAGTAGCGAACCTCCCAATTCATTCATAAATCACCTTCCCAAATTACGCACGTACCTCACTCCGCTTGCCAAGGGTGCAAACTTTCATCGTTGGACACAGCGATCTCCATAAACCTTCCAACCTTCATGCTTAATGGTAAACCATAAAACCCTGTTTTAGTATCGCGCTTGGAGCAAACAAACAATTGACCATTACAAACAAATTAGCCGTGCACATACCATAACTCTGCTCAAGCCCCCCTGCCTGCTCGCCGTGAGTGACGAGCTGAGTGTGACACATGCGCTAAAACGTGTTATTCAGGTTCTGGGGTGGAGCAACAACAAACAACCCAAATAGGCTCCTTTGGCCACTTACACTCCCACCAAATCATGACATGATGACTTAATTAAGCAAGACAGACAACAGTTAATCACATGATTTCTAAGTCACAATAAGTTCATCGCACATGCACAAGTTTAAAAGTCCTTTCAGCAAACAATTTATCTGTGTGTTTCTTATTTAAATAATAATTTAATCACTTTCAAGTAGAAGTACTAACTTCTGGATATGTCGTTCAATGATTAACGGTTTTGAAGGGCAGTCCCTTTTGGTTGCTTACCTCCGTTCTCCTACTTGAACTTTAACCCGACGAACTTAACCATCAGATCCCTCTGTGGTTTCAACCACTCGTGCCGAATGCCAATCACTTCTTGGAAGTGTCTATTCTTTGATAATGACAATGACACCCACTCTCAAGTTGCGCCGGGGAACATGCCACTTTTACCTTAAAGAAATGTTCAGGAGGTATTCCCTTTTCCACCGACTCCAGAACTGTTCAGTTAAATACTGTACTCGACGCCACCTTTTCATCGCATACATTTCCTCCTTTACAAACTTTCCTGGAGGTGGCAAAGCAACTTTAGACTTCATCAAGATGAGATGGTTTGGAGTCAAGGGTTCGAGCGACATGGGATCATTATTTCCATCCACAAATTAAAGGACAGTTGTTTACGATAGCCATTTCTTCATAGAATAGAGTTCTAAGAGAAGCTTCATCAAGTCTTCCTGGACACTGAGCAATGGTTACATTCAGAACATTACGAATGGTGCATATTTGTCCCAGATACCACCTGCATGACTCACTGAGGGAGCATTGAAGACAAATTCACGCTGTTTATTTGCCAGGAAGGCCTCTAGTGCTTTTGTGTCACATTACTTCAGGGCTTCCTTGAATTCATTGTTAGCACCCACAAAGTTTGTGCCTTGATCACAGCGAAGTTGGCTAACTGTTCCTCTGAGAATGATAAGGCATCTTAAGGCATTGATAAAAGCGTCTGTGGACAAATCTTCGAGCATTTCAATATGGACGGCTCTGGAGGACAAACAGGTGAAGATCAGTCCATATCTCTTGCACTCTTTGCGACCCTGCTTAACAATAAATGGACCAAAACAATCCATCCCACAGAATGTGAAGGGAGCTG